AGAGCCAAAGTTTTAGGCAGCATCATTAGTTGAAGGAAAATAGTTTAGCATCTGCTAGAAAAAGGGACTCTGTGTAACAGCTTTCAGTTAGAAAACACAAATAGCTATACATTACAAATAAGGGCTAACCATAAACAGCAAAAAAGACTAACCAATAATAGATCAATTTTAACAAACATAAGAGTTCTAGCTGATGCTCCACCCTCTATGCTGACCTGCGCCCACCTGAGATGACTGCACTAAATTCTGTCCAGAGGAACACAATCCAGAGCCGTAAATGATTCCTACAAGCTTTTATTTATAATATATAGTATCCACAAAATTGACTCTCAGAAAAAGAAAGGTCGAATGATGATCAAGGAAAAAGAAAAAGGCCCATGGGACGTACAGGATTTTGGTTATCAATCAGATTAAAATAATGGTGGTGAAAAAAAATTAAGAAATTAGAAGACAAAAGAATTTTAGCAGAGTTAAAATATTGAAATTTATTTTTATTAATATGTTCTATTTAGTACAGGGTCTAGAGGGGTCTCACTACATAGATCAGGCTCATAGTGATTCTCCTGTTTTCAGCCACCCAAGTGCTAGGATTACAGGCTCGCTCCACCACACCCAATCTCAGTTGCGTTCCAGCGCACCCCAGGGGCGGGGCCGGCACAGCACACCAGGGATCCAACCATGGTCCCTGCATCTGCTTAAGCAGGCACCTTAATCCAGCTATCTGGCTGGCCCCTAAAATATTAACATTTTAAAAAAAGAATTTCAGTTCTGGACAATTTCAGTTCTACCAAGTACAGCAAAATCTTTATACATTATATGTAAAAGAAAAATAAGACTCAAAGGTGAAAAGGAGGCAACAGACCAGGGAGGGACCTCAGTTTTTAAAGAGCAATGTGGAAATGAGTTCCCTAGATTTTTCCTTTGGTTCTTTCTTTCTTTCTTTCTTTCTTTCTTTCTTTCTTTCTTTCTTTCTTTCTTTCTAATGTATTTGGTACAGGTCCTCACTATGCAGCTCGGACTCATAGTGATCTCCCGTTTTTAGCCTCTCCAGCACTGGGATTACAGGTTTGCACCACCACGCTGGGTCTCCCTGGCTCAGGGTGCCTGGGGCCGGAGTGGCACAGCATGAGGTGCCAGGGATCAAACCTTGGTCCCTGTGCTTGCCTAAGCAGGTGCTTAGGCTGCTGACCTATCTCACTGGCCTTTTTCTTTAATTCTTACTATACCTCCCATAATGGGTGGTGGATAAGCTGGGAAGCCAGTAATGCCAAAGGAAACAAATAAGAAAAGCCCAAAGACATTTCACTGACCTTCTCAGACCAAAAAGCTAGAACTCTTGTTGCACAGGTCCTGCTTTACCTTGGTCTTAACCATCCAGTAGAAAAGTATGAAGATGAAATATAGGAAGTAAAGCCATGTTGTTATGTTGAGCTGTGGGGGACTCAGGTCAATAATTTCTGACATTGCCAGTTAAACAGAAGACCCAATGATATTATGGGCTTCTGTACTCTTTTAGAATATTTTGCTGAGTTTACACACCTATAATATTCAACAACGGAACTTAAAAAAAATTGGGGTATAACTATGAATGTCCATTTTGTATCTGTGTATTCAAAGTGGTTGGGATAGATATATAGTTGCATTCTCTTAATGAATAGAATGATTTTTTTCTAATGGTGTTTGTAAGTAGGATCACAAGTCTGCATCTTGTACAGCAATTAACCACTAGGAAGAATGTATGCAGTGTATTATTTGTTGAAACTGTACTTTCGATTTAATTTGAAACTGTCTCATTGCTATATGTTTATCAATAAAACTTTGAAAAGAAAAAAAAAAAAAAAAGCCCAAAGAAAGCCGAAATAAGTCGCCTAGCAAGGCAAATGAATCCCATCTCCCCTCCTCCCCTCCTCTTGCCAGCAGGGCTCAGTGGGGGAAATTAGACTCCCTCCACCCCTTCCCACCTCAGCAGGGACTGTCATTTCCTGATGGTAGCAATTCCTGTGCGGTGGTATCATAAGGTGGCCACAGGAGAGCACTCTCACCTGGCAGCAGCAAGGCAGTTTCCAGCCTCCCCCATTATCACAGTATCAGAGGAAAATCTTCTTAAACAAGAGCTAAATAGTATCTACAGCCTAAACTGCCCAGTATCTAATTACAAAATTACTCATTATGCCAAGAACCCAGAAAATCTCAACTTGTGTATACTTTATATATATATATAAAGGCAATGAGCAGACCCTCAATATCAAGATGATACAGATGTCAGAATTATCTGACAAGGCTTTTAAGACACTTTCAACAATGAACAATTACAAACTTAGATATGATTTAAAACACAGTGGCAACAAGGAAATACATCTCCACAGAAAAACAAAATATAATGAGAAGCTAAATGAAAATTTTAGATCTGAAAAATGTAATTGAAGTAAACACATCCATCATATGAGCTCAAAAGTAAAATGGAGAGAACAGAGGAAAGACACACTTGCTTTAAAGCAGAAAAAAAAAAAAATTGCTTCCTAACAGGAGCACTGCCTTGAATAAACCTTTTGTTCTCTGTTAAATTTGTTTTTCCCCTTTGAATTGATGTAAGCTCTGAAAAAAAAAAAAAAATGTATGTATGTATGTGGTACAGAATCTTGCTAAGCAGCTCAGACCCGTAGGGATCCTCCTATCTTAGCCTCCTCAGCACTGGGATTACAGGGGTGTGCCAACCCGACCCATCTCTGTGGCAGGCAAGGCGCGCTAAGGGTTCTGGGCCCCAGCACTGCATGCGGTACTGGGAATTTCACCAGGTTCTAAAGCTTGCCAGACAGGTGCTTAGACCTCCAAACTATCTCCCCAGCCCTTGTGGAACCTCTTATCCCTGTCTCAGCTATATGTTAAGCAGGTAGAAGTCAGTGCAACTTTCTTCGCCAATCATGTAACCTGTAATTTATCTTAGTTATATGCTAAAAATGTGAAATTCAGTGTAACTTTCTGTTCACTCAACTGATGGCAAACACTTTATTCTTGTACTTCCTACTTGGTTGTAAATCCTAAAAAACCCTGCTCTCTGAGACTTGGGGGCTTGGTTCCCTGGTGAGGGATCCCAGTCAAGCCTACCAGGGACTTGCAGGCAGCTATGAAGCTGCCTTCAAGCAGGTTTGTTGGTCTCGATCTGCTGCAGTGCTTACTGCGAGCTGTAAACAACCTTCTAAGAGCTGTAAGCACTTTTTTAAATGAGCCATAACACTACTATAAGAACTTGTCAGTGAACTTGAAAACAAAACAGTTTATTAGATATTACTCAACAACGATGGAACAAAAGTTTGTGGAACTTTATCAAAAGATCTAGCATTCATGTCATCAGAATCCCAGAGAATAAAAGAAAGTATGAGGGAGATGGGGAAGAAAAGTACTTTTTTTTTTTTAGAACCAGGGATTGAACTCAAAACCCTGTACTTGCCAGGCAAGCGCTTATTCTACTGAGCCATCTCCCCAGCCCCAGTACTTGAAGAAATAATGGCTGAGAATTCCCCAAACTGAGCAAAAGAAATAAATGTCTGAACAAAGCCCAAACAGTAAAGTCCCAAAGAAAACTCCACAAAGATATAATCAGCTTCTAAAAACTAAAGACAGAGGACAGTTCTTGAAAGCACTGAGAGAGCAAAGATCTCTTAGGGATAGTGGAAAAACAAAAACAATTTAAATGCCAACCTATTTCTCATCACAGAAGAAACTGGCACAGCTCAATCGCAGAGTAGAGGCGGGATGGGGTGGGGGTTGGTCAACTCCTGATTCTTTATGGAACCGTCACCACTGTGAGATTCAGAAACACTGAGAATGTGCTAGCAGCTGATTCAACTCTTAAGAAAAAAAGAGAAAGTTATGGAAACAGAAAGGAAATTTGAATCCGGGGACAGGAAGGAAGAAAAAACAATGGAAAGAGTAAAATATGAATAAGCATTTTCTTTCCCTTTTAATTCCTATGTGTGACTGTTGGGGCAAAATTTATAGCACTGTCTGATTCGGTTCTTCAATGCACATAAAGGAAATATTAAACACAACTATAAATGAGACAGTTGGGGCAAAATTTATAGCAGTCTGATTCGGTTCTTCAATGCACATAAAGGAAATATTAAACACAACTATAAATGAGAGGGGAGATGACTCAGCAGAATAAGCACTTGCCTGGCAATTGTAAGGGCCTGAGTTCAATCCCCGCTTCCGGGAAAAAAAAAAAGTATAAATGAAAGTGGAGTAGGACTTCACAGGAGATAGAGTTCCCACAACTTCCCTAGAAGTGGTAAAATTCAACACCTAGAAACTGATCACTTATGATCAGAACGAGAGGTGGAAGCGGTCGTTAGAACAGTCTGTAGAGTTGGCAGCTGGAAAGAAAAAACTCGGACTCTACTGCAGACACGGGGAAAGGCGGCCCGCGGAGAAAGGTGCACATACTCAAGACGGTGGATGATGGCGCACAGGAGGAAGCATGCTGAAAAGAGCTTCTGTCTCTGATGCTGACAACACACATAAAAGACGAGGAAAACGGAGGGAGCTCCGAGCATCTCTCGCAGTCATGTAGGAACCTGTTGAGAGAAGGGGTAAACCGAAATAAAGCTGCTGATGAAACTTTGTGGCGCAAAAAGCGGATGCGAATATCAGAAAACAGACCTTTATGGAGCGTCACGGGCTGAAATCAAAAGTTTTGGGCCGCTATTCAAAAGCTGTAGATGAACAGATTTACCACCAGGGGACGGAGTCTGTGGATGCTCACGTATCCCATCGGCCCTGGCGCTTGGGCGGAAGAAGGCGCGGAGGTGACTCTCTGGCCCGCACCCCACTGCTCTTCTGTTCCGTCTGACGTTGGACAACAAAGATGGCGGCTGGGACGAGCAATTACTGGGAAGGTGAGGGCGAGGGCTTTGGGTGGGTCTCGCCGGAGGTATGGTGAAGATAGGTCTTGCAGGAGGAAGCAGGAGAAAAAGTCAGGCCTTCTGAGTGATTGGACTAAGGGTGGGACTTGCTTAGCGGAAGCCCCGGGGACCGGAAACCGAACGGACTGGGGCTGGGGTCTGGCCCAAGCGGGCCGCGGGATGTGAACGAGCGGCAGGAGGTGGGCAGTGGACGCAAGGGTTGGAGAGGAAGAGGGACCTGGGTCACCCAGAGTGGACGTGAGTGAAGGGTAGTGGAGCCCAGACGTCAGGGCTTTGGTACCAAGAAGAGACGAGTGTGGAGCGAGAAGATTAGAATCTGGAACCTGGAGTGTTCCAGCGTTTGGGGGTTGAGATCACTGTAGGAAACTGCGGGAAAAGAGAAAGGCGGAACTTGGCCGTCCTGACTATTAAAGGAAGTAGGAGCGAACGTTTCTGCTAAGACCCCGTGGCAGTTCAGGCCAGGACTTTGAAAATGGGTTGCCTGAATACATAAAATAACTTTACCCACTGCCTTGGCGTCTGGGATCTTTTTTGTCAGAAAGAGAGAGTTGAAAGAACCCGTATGCGTTGTCGTTATTGCATTTGCTCTACATATACCAGGAAAGTTTCTTGCGATTTGACAATTGCATTAATTCCTGAAAATACTGTCCAGTCAAGTGAAGTCATGTAACACTCATTCCTGAACCATAATAAAAGGCAAAATTGAAAGCTTTTTCTTTCAACTATTTGCTTTGCTACAACATAGAAACTGCACACACACACACACACACACTTCACCCTTTTGATTATTTCCTCTTGCTACTCACTGAAACTTGTAGAAACCACAGTATTGTTACTGTAAGCTACTTGGTCTAAAAATCTAAATTTTAAGTTCATTCATGCTTGTCTGTCATATTTTCAAAATGCTTGATATTTTCTACTGGAAATGACTATTACTAAAATTACCAAGAGGTATGCTTAGAGTTTAAAAACATGTATTAAAATGGCCATTTGGACTATGGGTACTAGGTAGAAAAGTAATTATGTAGAAGTGGTTCCTGGTATCTTTAATACTATTTATTAGGCTATGGGATCCTTACAATACCATGCTGTATAAAGCAGCTCATTATTGGCAATATATTCTATGCCAACTGCTTTGAGCGTGTGATTATCAAAGCATAGAAACCCCTCAATATAGAGGTTTGAAAAACAAAAGTAGATTAAGTAGATGTTCAGTAAATGGCAGAGCCAATAAGAAAGTGAGCTGAGATTTGTTCGCAGGGATGAATATGCTCCACATTACTTTGCTTTTGGTTGCAAAATGTATTGAAATGTTTTCTATGCCTCAGTCCGGAGACATTCTTTTATTATTCCTTCCTATAGTTCAGTCTTTTTATTTTAACTTAATCATGAATAAGTCTAATCGTATTTGTGTGAGTTTCCAGACGTAGTTTCTGTCACTCAGTCTCCTAGGTGCCAAACTACTATACCAGTTTCTCTGTCAGTTTGTTTGCCTTTAAACTTGTGTGCTTTTCAGACTTAGGCTTTTATCTCTGTCATAATCATATTTGACCTCGTTAGAAGCACACCTTTTCCAGATTTTTTCAATGAGTTTATGTTTAATTTGTTCATTATAATTTTTCTTCACGTTCAATTGCTAACTCAGTTTACAGTTATGAAGAGGATCTCATAAACCTAATGAAGCTTTGAAACAGAAAAGTCCTTGCAAAGATAGTGATGGCTTTTTCCTTATCAATCAGTGACCAATAGATGATCAGTTGCATAGTTTACTTTGTTCAGAATAATTCTGTGATTTAACGTGTCCATTGATAAATGATTTTGCCTAATTATGTTTTTTGTAATTTTGCAAAAGATCTCAGGAAACAAGCCCGACAGTTGGAAAATGAACTTGACCTGAAACTAGTTTCCTTCAGTAAATTATGTACAAGTTACAGTCACGGTGGTGCCAGAGATGGAAGACGCGACAGGTATAGGTACTACCAGATTCTGTCTCTTAATGCCTTAAATTTTATATATAATGTTTTTAAAGCTTTTTTTTTTTTTCTTTATTTCTGATACTGGGAATCAAACTCAGGACCTCACACTTGCCAGGCGGGTTCTGTGCCACTAAGCTAAATCCCCAGCCCTAAAGCATTTTTAAACTTTTTTTTTTTTTTTTTTTTGGTGGTACCAGGGATCAAACTCAAGATCTTGTGCTTGCCAGGCAAGCACTTATTCCATTGAACTATCTCCCCGGCTTAAAGCATTTTTTTAAATTAACTAAAATACATCGTATTTGTAACTTGGTCTCTTGGTAAATTTTTGATATATTATTTAACTACTGAAATTCCTCCTAGTTCTTGAGGCTCATTTATTTAGAATCCTTAGGCAAAGATTATTATGATCTGAGGAGGAAACTGCTAGGCCTTGAGAATGAATTTATATCAAAAACTAAGAGTTTCTAGCTTAGGCAGTATGAAGAAATGTGCTTCATTTGTGCACATTATATTTTTTCTGTGTTTTCTTAATTGCTAAATGGATCTGAACTGCCCAAATACAAAGCATACTTTCTGATTTTCTGTTAGTCTTTTCAAATTAATCTAATGTAGTGTGTATCTTACCATTAGTCATAGAAGCTACTTTTATTTGGTACTTTCTAAAGAAACTAATATATTATGTTGAACCTATGGAAAATACATTTTTATCTTTGAATCTTATGCCTAATTTAAGTCATCCACTTGTTTCAAAAAACATTAGGGGATATTTAAGATGAATATAGTGGACCTCCTGTGCCTATTCCCCATTTTAAGAAAGGATCATTATTGATTCAGTTTTGAAGTCCCTTAATGGCATTCCGCTTTTTCCCTCCCATTTGTGTATATCACCATATATTTTTACTGTATATGTTTGTGTCTCTAGGCAATAGGCAGTATCTTACAGTAGTTATTTTGCAGCTTGATTTTTTGTTTAACATCATTGAAACTCAACTATGAATTTATCACTGGTGTATTCACTTATGATATTGTGCAAGTATATCATGGTGTAACCATTTATTGGATAGGTGTTGTTTCTGACTTTCGCTAATAAATAATAAGTTTAGTAACAGTGTTTTTCATGTTTTAGATACTATTCTGAGACCTTTATATAAGTTTTCTTGTTGTAAAGTTGTGTTTATTTATTTTGTTGTGATACTGGAAATGCAATCCAGAGCCTTCTGCATGCTAGGCAAGTGTTCTACCACTAAGCTACATCATCAGCCCTATTTAAATTTTATTTTGAGACAGTTTTTCAGAGTTGCTCAAGGAGGTCTTCAACTTACGATCCTTTTGCCTTAGCCTCCCAAGTAGCTGGGATTACAAACATGTACCATTGCACCCAGAATTCTAAGAATATTTTTATACAAGCTGTTCCTGTATGTCCTGGCAGTGAAATTGGTAGTAGACTTGTTGGTTGTTAATCCACTCATATTTTTAGTGCTTTTTCAAAGGTAATGGTAGATGTGATATTTTTCAGTTAATAATAACAAAAATTGAGCTTAAATCTGAACCTCTGTCTTCATATGTCCTATGCCTACACTCTAAAATACTATACTATACTAATACTCTATTATAATCTATGCACAATCCAGTGAAAGTCTCATAGTGCAGTGGCTGGGGTTCGATCCCTGGCGTGCTGTGCCAGCCCCACCCCCTGGGTGCGCTAAGAGGGCAACTGAGACTGGGCATGGTATCATGCACCTGTAATCCCAGCGCCAAGAGGCTGAAAACAGGAGAATCACTGTAAGTCCAACTACATAGTGAGACCCTGTACACCCTGTAGACTCTGTCCTAAATTCATAGAAGAAAAAAAAAAAAGATCAAGATTCATTTCCCAAAAAAAGAGACTCATTTCCACACTGTAGCCAAGGTGCTGTTCCTTTCTAATAAGTATACATACTTCACGTAGATACCAGGGCCAATGTATGGACTTAGGGACTTAAAAATAAATTCTTACCGTGTTACATAGGTTTTATTTCAGTCCAGTGCTTTGGGCTCACCTTAGTTTAGCAAGTAAAGAAAAAGTAGTTTTTTTGATGTGAGAGTTTGAGAAAAATTAATTTATGAATTGAAATATTTTCTCTTGAATTAAAGTCTCCCATTTGGTTATGCCAGCCATATACAATTTTGAAACTCACATTTGTTAAGAGATACTTTACATGATGCTTTTATTATTATCTGTTCTTCATAATCTTAATACTTTGTTAACTCCTTTAAAGGAAAAAGCAGTTTTGGAAACATCCCCCCGCCCAAAAAAAAATTCCCAAAGAAAGTCTACAAATCAAAATTGACTTTGTAGAATCACTTCCAACTCCTAATCATCCTAAAAAAAAAAAAAAAAAAAAAAAAAAAACCTAAGGTTATGAAGATCCAATGAATTTTGTTTAATGTCCAGGCTGGGAGCATGTTACAATAAATAAACTCAGCAGTGGCCAGAACACTTATCCCAGGAAAGCTTCAATGTCTATGAATCATCACACACCTATAAAATGGATTAAATTTAACTGAATTCTGGTACAGCTGAATTGGGTGAGAACTGGATCAAATTTCCCCATAATGTGAACATTTAAGCTAACCATTCATTTGATTTACTTCTCATCCAACTTGAATTGTGATCAGAATCGTGAAAGAATTAAGTTTATTGAACCAAGGTGGCAATGTATTTAGAAGATGGGCTTTTGGTTATGTCCTTGGACTCATGGACTAATACTAATACTCTATTATAATCTATGCACAATCCAGTGAAAGTCTCATAGTGCAGTGGCTGGGGTTCGATCCCTGGCGTGCTGTGCCAGCCCCACCCTCTGGGTGCGCTGAGAGGGCAACTGAGACTTGACAAGTCTGGAACAAACAGTAGTAGAGATTGCCCTGTTGTTCATTTATTCAATGAGTATTTAATGAGCATTCACTGTGTGTCGTGTGGTAGCCATATATCTTTGAACAAGACAGAGGCATTTTCCTCCCTTAAGATTGCATTTTGTTAAACTGGGCATGGTGACAGGGTTTTAATCACAGTACTTGAGAAAGGCAGAAGCAAGAGGTTTGCCACAAGTCTGAGGCTAGCCCAGGACACATGAGTGAGTTCAAGGTCAGCTTGAAGTACATAGTGAAACCAAAAAAAAAGGAAAAGAAAGAGAGGAAAGATATGTTTTGTTGGCCTGTTGTTTTTTTTAAATTTATCTGGTGGGGGAATCTGTAGTAGTGTACAGAGCCCTTCTGCATAGGCATATTATAAAAGACAATTTCAGAACCTTGGCTTGGCTCTGACACTTAATAAAGATAAATATTTTGACATCATAGTCTAGGACAGATAAATTGGGAAGTTTCAAGAAGAAATAAAATTTAGACCTAATTAAACATCTTAAAGTAAAAATATTTATTAGATATATTTTGGCTATTTCATTGTTTATTGTTGCTGTGTGAGTAAAAAGGTATAAGGGCAAATAGTGGTAGCTAAGGCACTCTTTGGTGTTGAATTGATGATTTTATGTTTCATTTGCCACACGCAATCACTGTTACAGGGCAGGACAAAGCCTTCAGTACAATTGGAGAGCATAGTCACTTCCTAGTCATTTATCTGTGCCCAGATTATCTCTGATTGCATGTGATAATGCAGAAATGAGGATCTTATAAAGGCTTCTTTCAAAATAAGACAAAAGAAACTTTTAGAACATGTGGTTCCTGAATTTGAGTCTGTCAAAAAAGTCTTGCATATATAAAAAGTCAAATTTTGACTATGCCACATAAAAATTTAGTAGATTTTTGAAATATAAAATGATATGATTGCATATTGTAAGCTGAAATGTAAAAGGTTAGTACAAATAAAAGCTGGATAAGACCATGTATTTTAGAGTGAAAGTAACTTCCTGATTATTTGATAATTGTAATCTGGATCATTTAAGTCTCAGTTTTATTCTTGGTAAAAGTAAAAGAGCAAATCGAAGGCCTGAAAAACTAATTTTTTTTTTTGTCTTTTTGAGACAAGGTCTCACTATACAGTACAGGCTGGCCTTGTTCGCACTGTATAGCCCAGGCTGGTCTTGAACTCATGATTCCTCCTGCCTCAGCCTGCTGAGTGCTGAAATTATAGGGGTGCGCCACCACACCCGCCTAAAACTGTAATTCTAAAAGATAAAAATTTGAAAGATTTTTCACAGACTCCATAACAAAATCAGTAATTGATTTTTATGGTTTATCTTATAAGGAGTTCTACATTTCTGTTTTGTTTGACATAATGTATTCTTTTAAATTCAGTTTAATTAGACACTGTTATAGCTTAAAGTTATGTGCTATCATTTGAATAAATGTAAACAAGCATTTGGAGATTTTTACATTGTTAAGATTGAAAATATAACTAATTTTAGGAAAATTGTGCATTCGAATATATGTTGTTGTTGTTGTTTTCCCCAAAACCGGGGATAGAACTCAGGCCCTTGCGCTTGCCAAGTTGATTGTATTTTAAAATGAATTTAATTTGTACGGTGTGTATGTGATCTTTCTTGGAAAGTTATTTAAAAAATTAATTTCTAAAGTATTAGAAAAAAAGAGAATGTTTCAGGGATTTACTTGACATATAAGGATAGTTACCTTATTATTTAAGTATGTTTTAAAGGACTAGAATTGAGTAATGGAGTCCCTTTCATTTAACTTTTCCATAGTTCTGACACAACACCACTTTTAAATGGGTCGAGCCAAGACAGAATGTTTGAGACGATGGCAATTGAGATTGAACAGCTTTTGGCAAGGGTAAGTGCTTTCTGTTAAGTTGCTATTTTGCTAATAGCTATACATTTGTGAGATATGACACTGCATTATGTAAATGCAGACATGTTGCTTGAAATTATCCAAATGTCTTCAGGCCACTTGAATTTTCGTGACCGCCATCCCCAGGTCATGTGGGTGTTATTTTAACCTTGATGGATTACTTAGGGGAGGTGCTAAATCTTTGGATGCTTCTTGGGTTTTCTTTTGCTTAGTTTTGTTCTGCTGTCAACTAAAAGGATGTGTAGGCAAATAATTTGCTGTTTATGAGGTTCTCTAAAGTATTTTTTTGGAGGGTGGAGAGATAGCTCAATGGTCTAAGCACCTGCCTGGGAAGCACAAAGACCCAGGTTTGATCCTCGGTAGTGCATGCTGTGCAGTGCCCTGGAACCCCAGGCGTGCTCTGCTGGCCACCAAGACGGCATGGTGGTGCACGCCTGCATTCCCACCACTGGGGAGTCTGAGACTAGAGGATCACTATGAGTCTCAGCTGTGTAGCAAGACCCTGTATCAAATAAATAAATAAATAAATAGGTTTTTTAAAAAAATTTTTTTCCTAGCTTACAGGGATAAATGACAAAATGGCAGAATATACCAACAGTGCCGGTGTCCCCTCCTTGAATGCAGCATTGATGCATACGTTACAGCGACACAGAGACATATTGCAGGTAATATTGGGCTTGAGACTTTTTATACTAGTTTGGGGTTTTTCTTAATCCCTAAATAGGATGTTTACATATGTATTAAAAGAATAAAGAGCACCGGGGAGATGGCTCAGTAGAATAAGCGCTTGCCTGGCAAACACAAGGGCCTGAGTTTAATCCCCGGTTCTGCCA